GATGAGGAATGCGTATAGGATATTGGTGGGAAAGCCAGAAGGAAAGAGACCACAGGGAAGACCAAGGCGTAGGTGGGTGAACAATATTAGAATGGATCTTAGAGAGATAGGATGGGGTGGTGTGGATTGGATAGATCTGGCTCAGGATAGGGACCAGTGGAGGGCTCTTGTGAACACGGTGATGAACCTTCGGGTTCCATAAAATGCTGGGAAATTCTTGAGTAGCTGCAGAATTGGCGGCTCCTCAAGAAGGGCTCAGCTCCATGAGTAAGTAAGTAAGTATCATAGGCAGAATCGTAATCATGGCTAACTGCCCATTACTTCTCATCCTATTGCCTTCTAATTTTAATCAATAACATATCTACTAAACATTGAAAACATTAAGATAAAACACTCAAGGGAAATGAAATATAGTGTTCATTATGAATATACACTTTTCTATCATTTTTCGCAACACGAAATTTTTCCATATAAATTTTGCGATTATTACGGCTGGAAAAGATAAAACCGTGTTGAATCAGCAGATGAGACATTTGGAATGGTACAGTGTCTAACTATCCCACTGACTGTGCTACCGTGGCCACTCAACGCTGGTTTCCATTTTGTCCTATAGAGAATGCACCACTAAACAGAGCCACCATTCACGTCATGCTCAAAGTTGGTAGTAAACTGGAATGTTACGTCATACGCTTCCACTCAATAACACTCAATAACACTGGCATAGGAATACAGCACACTCTCGCTAATTCGGTTACAGTTCACTCATATGTCTGATAATTCAGATCGAAATATAAAAATTCTATTCACAGTTGAGTACATACTTTAAAAGTGTTATAATTTAGCGTCCTGTTACACTGATTAACACCTGTTAGCACCTGCTCACGCTGGTTCCTCGCTCGCGGGTTTTCTTTTTTTTCTTCTACCCTGAAGATGGATGCGATACGTTCCTCCGAAACGTCGGTTGACACAATATATACACGGCGCCACATCCCAGAAGACGGCTTTCCTCATAGTCACCGCCGTGAAAACCTCAAATCTTACATATGGATTAGCGAGTGTTTGCTGCATTCTTTTTGTGTACGACTTGAATGAGAAATGTCCTTCAGGTTGGGGTTGAACGCAAGGCTAACGACCTTGCTCTGTAAAAAATAAATGTTGCAAAATCCAAAGAAGTGAAAACCGGATGCAATCTGGCAGAGTCTTCGACAGAAGGCTATGGCTCAAAAACAGCTGCTTTCCTGCTGATGATGATGAACGAGAAATGGTTGTGTAAAAAGCATAAATTTCAGATAAGATAAGCTGGGTAATTTGTCAACGCAACGATAACAATCACCATAATTCGGTTCGAACCACAAGCTATCATGGCTGAGGGTTTTCGTGGTTTTATTTAGTTGCTCCACGCAAGTATCGAGATGTTACCAAGTCTAGGCCAAGGCCGCTCCTTTCAAATCCTTCTCAATCTATTATTCATCAGTCATCCTACAATCCGACAAAATTATACAGTATAATCTTGACAGATTATCACCATAGAGACGGTGATTGCTTTTAATGAGTGTTATTACCGAAGATATACGGTTCTTCTGCGGCCAGGACGTGAAGCTGATCACTCATCCTCGTTCAGTGACGAGGTTAAGAATATGTGGAGCTATCCCTCCTTTCCCCATGCGTATTAATGTCTCGGTGCTTAATTAACCATAATGATGCCTTTTTGCGGGCGAAATTGACGAAGCTACGTGCATTTTGAAGGTTTCTGTTTGTATACGCAGAATGGATGCGAGGCTCTCACAATGGTGAGTATGAGTATTGCTGTCTTGTGGTATGTGAAGCCGTATAGTGCGGTAGATCGTTACCATCGATTCTGAGGTGCTATTCTATCTTGAAGATGAAGGCAACAGGTTCCTCAGAAATCAGATCGAAAAGTCTGTGACGATGATACATTAGTACAAATGTTATATTTCCGGACATTATCCATTGCCCTGTCTTTATCTGTTTATTTCTTCAAAAACGTTTCGGAGTGTTGTATTTGTATTTTTAGCCGAAACATGTAGTAAGAAGTGACATATGATATTGAGTGCACTACAAGACGGCCATTACATACATATCATGGACGTTTTGGAGACAGGATTCTGTCTCCGTCTTCAGGTAAAACGTACTCGGTTGGGCCCAATCGATAGAGCTAGTCCCTATCTCCGGAGATACTGACGGTGTTTTTAAATCAAGACAGGAAGATGGATAATGTCCAAAAACATAATATTTCCTCAGAAATGTTGGTAAAATGTTTCTACAGTGACGACAGAGACAACAGGTTATTTCGAAATACTAGTAACGACCTACCAGCTAATTCATCTTATACATTGAAGATGGAGGCAGGAGATTACCCCGAAACATTAATAACAATGTACCGGATGACATTTTCACTGGCTCTACAGCCCCCTTGGGCACTGGCCTCTGATTTTTTCAGTTTCATGGTCATTTTACATACGGTAGGACTCCTGGGACGAGAGATCAGCTCGTCGCAAGGCCTCTACCTAAACACAGGACAACACAAACACATACCAAACATTCATGCCTTGTGTGGGATTCGAAACCACAATCCCGGCTTCCGAGCGAGCGAAGACAGTACATGCCTTAGACCGCTCGGCTACTCTGCTCACCATGCGCCTTCATGGGGTAGTGCTTCAACTCGTTGATCACAGGAACAACTTCACCTTTATACCGGACGACATTACGTCGTCTA